CAATTTCATGAAAATCAATGAGTACTAGGAAGAAGAAAACTTTCTAGAATTGATCGTGCTGATGTTTGTACAATTCTTTTGATATGATGGAATTATGGGATCGTATGACACGTGAATGAAGTCTAACTGAAAAAAAGAGTCGTCTATGTGCCTTCCCCCTTAATGTTGTAGACATCGCAGTTGTTGTTGTTGGATATGTTTGCCTTCAACAAGGGTGTGTGGCCCTGACATTTCAACTTCTTAAAGGGAATCTCAAAAAGCAAGAAACATAAGCTGATGGGAACGTGACCAGAGAGTGACCAGTTGTCCTTTCGTGGAAAAGTTGAGGCTTGGCTGCCCAACAGCAATTGAGGAAAGGTGGAGTCAGAAGTCCTGGGCCCTGTTACTTTCTGACTGTGGCCTGCACAGTAGGCCTGCTAAAGGCCCTGTGTCTCCATCTCTTCAATTCGAAAATTGCCCTGCCCATTTCAGCGGACTGCACTGAGGATCAAAGATGAAGACACAGGTGGAGGTGCTGTCTGATGTAATATTTTCACCAAAGAGTTGTTGGTTGGGGTTTGAAATAGGGGCTCTTGCTGTGTGTATGTGTATGAAAAGAGCTTCTGTTTCAGAAAACAGAGACAGTTATCCATTTCATAATTTTTGTTCTGCATCTAAAAGTTATACCATCCTTTGACTAAATGACATAATTTAGTGATTTGTGTGGAAATTTCAAACACCATCCTCGATATAGTCTGGAAAAACTCATGCATCCAAACACATGGGAAGGCTCACAAGCACACTGATGAGTCAGCAGCACCAGGGCAGGAGGACAGGCATTAGTGGATCAGTTCTGCAAAATGCTGAGGTCAAACTTCATTGTCACAAAAAGTGGGCACGAGACATCCTTCTTTCTAAGAATAAAATAGTTGCCACTGGACACTGACATGTAAACAAAGGATTTTAAAAAAGGGCCCCAAATCAAAATGTTCCCCTCGAGACCCTCACTCCTCATCCAAAACATTTAAAAAGTATTTTTAGAAGCTTAATTTGTTCCAGAACACGTAAGAAAGTTGATTGTAATTAGTTACAAGTTAAGAGAGTAGACTTTCCTTTATAACCTTACCTTCATTAGAATCATCTACATAACACAATAGGAGCCCTTGTGGCACAGTAGGTACATGTTGGGGCATGTGAGAGAGAGGTTTATTGTGCCAAGCTGGCCAATAGGAACATGTGGGATTAATAAGGTCGCAGTTTGACTGGAGGGCAGAGAGATAAATGGCTCGGCAAGACCCTCCTGTCTCTCTCGTGCTCGCTCTCTGGTGATCTGACCAGTGTGCCTTAGCTAGTTCTCTGCTTCAACTTGCTAGCTACACTACCTGTGGGACACCCAACCCCTGGACTGTATCGCTAGAGCTAGAGGTTACTTTGAGACCTGCTTCGCCACACTGCTGGTGTACACATCGCTTGAGCTGGGGCCTATCAGATCCTGTCATCTGGCTGACTGTTGGTGACCCTCCCTCTGCTCTTTGCTGCCTGTGGCCAGATTGCCTGCATGGCTCTAGGGAAGACTCAGCTATCTGCTTCCTTGACCTTGGTCCCAGCAGCCGTCCTGAGTTGAAGCACTTCCAGTATATTACGTGTTTCACGGAAGTGAGTGGAACTAAGCCCTCTCTACTGCTGTGCGGACTAATCAGCTGCTATATTTCTTCGTGCTGTATACATCTCTCTGTCTATATCATTAGTATCCTGTTTTGTTTCTCTGGAAAACTCTCTGTGTGACACAGGATGCTACCGTCAAAGTGAGCAGGTCAAAACTGCCAGTCGTTCTGGGGAAGAAAGACCAGGTTTTCCATTGCTTTGAGTCAGAATTAACTCGAGAGCAGCGAGTGTGAGATAGAACACAGTACGTGTATCCCAAAGGAAGTGCATATAAAACAGATGTGGTATTCTTCTTTATTTCAATTTATTATCAGCAAAAACAACGATCACCTTCTATAATTGTCTCACCTAACTTTGGGGACTGGTGCAGCTTCACTAAGGCCCAAACCTAAAATTCAATCATCTTTACTGGTAAAGGTGAATTAACAGGACCGGGGACCCAAATCATCATACCATTACTATTGTTGGGCTAAAACTACGAATACATACACAAATCTATGCAGGTCTTGTCACAAGGGTCCCCGATTTTATTAGGGGGTTAACAGAAAGGGTTTCTTGTCCTTAACAAGCAGGGAAAGGGGTTTAAACTACTGTCATGTGGCTTCATGCCACTACTGTTAGATTCGTGCCATGCTACTTTGATTCCAGTCCATTTGGGCAGGAGTCATGAGCTGATGATCATGGATTCAACAGACTTTCGAATTCTTGCTACCTCTTGCTCGTGCTGATACATGAAAGGAGAAATGAAATATTGGTTTGATCATTAGACACGTTTTACACCTCTGAGGACATAAATGATTTAAATGCTCACATCAATTCCTAGTTTTCAATTACAACTATGCAATACTTACAGCTTTCAGTAAAAGCTTGTTTTGCAGGGCTTTCATTTCTTGTCTCATCTTACTTTCTGGATTAAAATAATCATTGTCCTCTTCCTCCTCCAATTCTTTGATGCTCTAAACAAAAAGGCCAGATTTTGTCAGAAGTCGTTCCTTTTTATCTCAGGCGCTAACATCCTACAATTACATTTCAGAGATAAAACCTTCAAACTTTCACATGCCACTCATTATTTATCCCAAATAAAAAGAATCCAAGTAATACACGAAGACCCACATATCACGCACTAGCTGAATTAAACAGAAGTCATACAGAGTTACCGATCAGGATAAGAGATTCAATAGTGCTATACTTTGTTTGAAATAATGGATGAGTTTAGTGATTACGCCAAGACGGAAAAAGAAAAAGACTGAAAACCTATCTCAGTACATTCCATAGACTTGACACTCTCCTCTGAAGCCCAGGTACTAATGGAATTATTATGATTAACAGTTAACAGACCACGGCTTCCTGAGAGAAAAGAAAATGATCTCTAATGTAACCTCTTCAACTTATGAAAAATAAAAGCAGTTTTCAATCTCTACTCTCCATGCAATGGAAGACAGTGAAAGCTCAAAGTCCAGTTTCACAGACCCCATGGGGAATAAGCCTCCATTGTATTGCCTCTTACCATTGACTGGGGCTGTGAAAATCGGTGCCCTCAGACAGTGCGTCACAAAGTGAATCAGTGCACCTAGAGTCAGGTTAAATTTTTAAGACTTTATTAACTGTCCTCCCTTGTCAACCATTCCTCATTTGTTCTGGTTTTTATTACCCTCTGCTTTCTTTTGGACTGAGATTGTTCTGGGTTTCGTTCTGTTCTTGGTGGTGGTGGGTTTTGGTGCGCTTTTCTTTCTTTGATATGCAGGATATAGGTAAATCTATAAAGACAGTGTATGATTAATAGTTCTTTGCGTTAAGAGAGGAGAGCTAATGAGAATGAGTACCAAACAGAAGGAAATGTTCTACAATTGACTGCGGTGATGACTGCACCGCTCGTTTTCCTATATTGAAACCACTGAACTGTATGGTACCAGGATTATATGTCTTTCAATCTGTTAAAGGGGGATGAGCAGGAGATATCACGTGCCATTCGTCGCATGATTATCTGTTTAAGCTCCTGAGTGCAAAAATGATGTGAAATGTAACACCCCGCATAATGTCAAAATCTACAAAAACTCCTAACTCTTCATCTAAAGGATGGTGATCCTGGGCCTAGTAGGTGAAGAGTCCCGTGTGAAGTGCAGAGGAGGATTTTCCACACGAACAGTCCACCCTCTCATCCCTAGTCAATCGAGAAGAAGAAACACAGGAGCAAAAATAGGTCTGGGAACACAGTTGATGTGTTTATGAGGGGATTTCAGAGCGTCTGTGTGCAAAGCAAACAAGAAAAGGTTCTCTACCAACAGACTGTGATGGTTCCCAGTGGTGGAAAGGGAAAGCGGTGTAACAGGCGAGAGAACAGACAGGTGCTAACTTTGGTGAAGGGGGAGATAACATGCTACAAGAGGGTGGCCGGGAATCAGCCAAACCTTTGGAAGGTTTAAGAAATTTTGTTAAAAGGGAGGGAGAAAAGATGATCTAATATGGAAAAGCCCACCTAATTCCCAATGCATGCTTACAAGTGTTTAGAAAGCACATTTAAAAAATTGACCAAAGAGGTGGGCGACCTGAGAGAAGGTGGGAAATGAGCAGGATGTCATTTAATTTGAGAAGCTTGACACGTAGGATTTCAGACTAGGACACTACTGAGAGCTTCTCAGGAGAGAAGGGAAATGTTTCAGGAAGATGCATGCAGACCTACAAAGGATGGGCCAGAGGAGCCGGAAATCAGATGAAAGACTTTCGCAGCAGAGGAAGGGACTGAGGAGGGCCTGACCTGGAGCAGCAGTCATGGGAATTCAAAGAAGGAAAGAGAAGAAAGAAGCACTGCCACGTTGAAATCTACAAGATCACTGTGGGTTGATCATTAACCATTGATCATTAACACGGGAGGGGATGATACGGAAAATGGAGGAGTTCAAGGTGAACGGAAGTCCCTGCCCTGAGTGGTAACATCTCACAGAAGCCATTTTTACCGCTTTATTCAAACTTCACCCAAATGCTTTGATGGATCTCAGGAAACATGTGAACAAGCCAACAAGTTTTCTATTTCCAAATCCTCCACCAGGGACTCTTTGGTTATAGATATAGATAGATAGATAGATAGATAGATAGATAGATAGATAGATAGATAGATAGATAGATAGATAGATAGATCGAGTATATGTATGTGTATATATTTCAATAAAAATGTTTAGCACCTCTATTGTATGCATTTGCTCCAACATTCCAGTGAGTCTAGAAGAGTGGCATTCTATCATGCTTGATAGGTTCTCTAGGAAGAATTCCCCAGCGACTAAAATAGGGATTATACGGACTCCGAAACAAGTGCCTAGAAGCAGGAAACCTATCTGCCTAGGAGCCACCAGGGGCGTTTATGACTCTGAAATCACAAAGGTTCAACCTCTGCTAGCATTTTCATCCAATCTGGGTCATCACCCTTGATTACCATTGTCATATGAAGCCACATTTAGTGCTTGTAGTAGTAGGTGTAACGGGAAAAATGCCAGAAAATAAAATGTGTCCATCCGTTACGCTTTTGAACACCAGGGATACTAGAGTTCTTATTTTCACGTACACATCACTGCTCTTCTGCTAAAAGAGGTGGCATGGTGTTGCACAGAGCACTGTGAGAAAACTGGTAATAAATCATTAATTGTATGCATCGTATGTATCTTGAGGAGTGACATTTCCAAGCTGCTACTTCCTATTTTGAAGACGTCAAACTAAGCCCTTAATGAATCAAAAAAGTAAAACATACATCTCAGCGCTTCAGTGAAACCAGGAGCAATTCCAAAGGGAAAATGCCACATCGTTTAATATGTCTCAAAAATATTTCCCCCTCTAACTCAGAACGAAAACCAGTCCCTTCTGCTGCTGCACACAATCCAGTTATAAAACAATGTGTTGTGTTATCGAAGAAAACAAACCTTCACGAATTCCTCGTACATCTCTTTAAGTTTTCTCAGTTGCAGGCTCTGATTAACTCTAAGTGAATGAAGTATGCTTTGTTGCTGTTCATACAAAAGCTAAAATGTGAAAGAGAAATGTTACAGCAACAATTTATACAGATTTCATTATTTCGTAAGCAGTCTGACTTTACGTTGAAAGGGAATCATTTGAATATCAGCATTTTAAAATGCTTTTTCAGCATTTTAAAATGCTTTTTATTTTAACCTGTATGAAGACCAAGTTTAGATCATTTGTGTATGCCAAGAATACAAAACAACTTGATACGCTCGACCAATCGCTGAGTAGGGCATTTTCTTTCTTAACAGTATTGGAAGCATGCTTAATGTGTGGTGATCTCAATATTCACCGAGAGATCGTTCTGATACCTTTAGCCTTTCAGGTCCTTGACCTCCTCTCCTTCGTGATTTTGTCCTCTCCCCTGTTTATTGCCCACTCACACGGTCACGCACAAGGTTTTGTTAAATGACCATAATCGACACATAGTGTTAATAAGCACAACAACTTACGTAGTGTCCAGTGCTCTTTTGAACCACTGAAAATAAACCTACTAGATAAGAACACATCTGCTTTTCAAAGAAATCGTAGTAGAGAGGTATTCTTACTCTCCTTCCATAGATGAGGAAAGTGAGCCCTGGTAAGCAATTTGCCGGCCGGGCTTTCCTAGCACCAAGTAGGAGAAGCAAAATGGGATCCCAAACAGTATCGTGGAAGAATAGAGATACTTGACCAGAGTTAGGATTCTCCATCGATCCCGCTATCCAACTGCCAACCCACTCTTTTGTATTGCCTGTCAACAAGTAGGACTTAACCTCCATTGAGCCCACTATTTTTTTGCACCTCATCTCTACCCCCTCATGTCCTCCCTGTTTCATTCCCTCTTTCCCACCTGAAATCACTGGGTCGATCATTACTCTTACAGATTCTCTGTTGCATCTGTATCTTGCTCTCTTCTCACTGACACACTCGACTGATTAAAGCCCCAGCGTGGGAAGCCAACTCCCCCAGGGCTCGGCCCAAACCATGCTGAGGGGTCTCGCTTAGTTTTTATATCATTGACCTCTGATTAAAGGATCAGGTTATTCTGAAGTTCAATCTTATCAAGAATTGCCGGGCAAGCAGCATCGATTGCCACAGCCAATTTTGGAAGCTTTTCCTCCCTCTGGTACTCATTGATGGGGACTCCCCATTTTCCACACCGTCCCTTTCCAGGCCCCCAGGCAACCATCAATACAGTGTGTCTTCAAAGAGCCACCCATCCCAGTTTCCTCATACAGATAAACACCCAAAACAAGGCCAAACAACAAACAAGGCCCCAACAGCAATATAACTCAGGCAATGCTCTAAATATAAGAGAAAGCACAGAATATTACAATTTTAGAATAAATGAACATCGGGTCCTGATTCAATGACAAGGAGTGCCATGCCAACCTAAGTACAGCTGCTAAAGTCCACTTTGAAAGGCTCTTGGTAGGATACAAGGGCTGTTAACAACCCGTG